GAATTATAGAAGACTACTTTGCTTTAATTTTTTAGAATACTTTTAAAGGTATATGGCTTTCCTCTAAGTTCCTTTAGGAACTTGACCAAGGTCAAGGGTTCACTAGGCTAAACAGACTTATCTCAGGATGTTTTATCAAAATCTTGCCTTAAATCTTATTTGACAAGTAGATGGAAATACTATTATATAGCTAATATTGGTGATGAATAAAGATTTCCAAAACAACTAAACACATTCTTCTAATTTATCATATTTTGGTAGGGAAAAACCTTTCCATAAAAAATACCAAAATCAACCATGTAACCCAAATAGTTTTTTACTAGCCTTCCACTAGATGGTGATCTAAGACCAGCTATTTTTTCCTTGTATTTATGAGCAGTGATTTAACAGCCCATGCTGCAATAAGAATAAAATTAGAACTTGCAATTCAAAAAAATTGTAGAAGGTAATTTTTTTTTCCTGTGTGAAAGATGATTTGATTATACAAGGCAGTTAACCTTTACATTTTGTGGAATATAATTTAACTTATTAAGTTTCTCATGGTTTAAGTAGTAAATAATAATAAAATAAAAATATATGAAAGTCTGATTAATGGTACTACCTGATTTAGAATTACTTATGTCTGATTCCAGCTCTTCGTCAACTGGCTGTGATTTCTATTCAGCTTTTCCCATTTTTCCATTGTATATTTCCTATTTTCCCAAAGTGTATTCAATAAAATGCCAGAATTTTGATAAGCCTGAATATTTTCTAGGTTTGATACACTTGCTGTTAAAGAACAATGATTTGTTTTGATTGAAGTAAAATGTAATGGTAGGTGCATATCTTGCAAATTTGCTCTTTACTTGGAAAAAAATTGTATCTGATTTGACAGCCTTGCATATGCTAACAACAAGAAACGATTTACATACACACCTTGTACATTACTGGCAGATGGGAAAGCATAAGGGAGGAATTTTTTTTATTTATGGAGAATGAAGAAACTATGGTACTTGATGGAGAAACTAGAATGTTATCAAATGTAGGCAGACTCTTTAAAAAGGTCCTTGGGCTGAGATAGGAGTAGAACTATCAACAGGCAGGATTTAAAAGGAATCAAACCATACTGTCTTGATTTTGCACTGTGCGATAAATATTTTTCCTTTCTCACTCAAAATACACTGCTTCAGAACTTAGGGTTCTGAAACACATGTTGGTTCATTGCTTCCAGACTACGAAGTATCGATGTAATGAGAAGAAATAAGCTGATTGGCATGAATATTGGAAATGCTGAGAAACTATTTTAAAATTTGAGTCTTAATTTTCAC